GTATTAAAAATATAAATGAAAAATTCGAGATATCTTATCACAATTATGCAGAAGCAAAGGGCGTGCATCAAGTGCCAAAATAATCTATTCAAACTCTGCGAGTAAATTGTGCGTTCGGTCAAAACAACCGCGTTTGATCAAAACATTAATATACAATAATATTTTCACATCTTTAAGGCGCAAAAAAGTTCAAATTCTGGCTCAGCAGTTCAAGGAATTGTTCAGTCTGCTTTGTTACTTCCTTGCACTGAATTAACCTACTTCTGCATTGATTTACCTGAAAACTACATTTATCTTAACCTATCTGAACTGAGTAATTTCTTCATTTATCTTATTTAGTTTATAAATGCATCAGAATCATTAAGAATTGATGTCTCATCTCATTACTAACATCACAATTGCTCCACAATGTTTTCAAGAGTTTTCCCAAAGGGCTGACAAGGAGTTCAACAAACACTGAAGAGCTTCTTTCGTTGGCGGTAGTTTCCTTTACTCTAGTGACCTGAATGTTTGATTTAAAGGTTTTAGTGGATCAAAAAAGAGATTCTAGTCACTCTAAAGAAATTCTGTGTTACGAGATCTTTCATCACGACCTTGGGAAATGAAAGGAAAGTAGAGTACGGACTGAGTCTCATCAAACGTTCAGTTTAGCATTTGTTTAGGTAAGGTAACAATCATCTTGTACTTTGCTGCTCTGGAACCTACCAGTACACTTCTCCGACAGAAAATGCTTGCAACTAAATGTGCGCACACAATAATGAATGAATATAGTGGAGATAGTGGAGATAAAGATAGAATAGACGAACCAGGGAACCGCTTTTGTTTTTTGCTGCGACTAAATTTTTTTAACGAACGTACACTTCAAGAGCTAACTGAAGAAGATTGTCGAAAGGAAGCAGGTGGCGCGTAATACAGAACATATCGGTTAATCAAGCATATCTAGATATATTTTCGCTCTTCATATGTTATTAAAGAAGTGTTCATTCAGTCACCTTCAAGAACTCGTTTACACTTAGCACTTAAAGATAAGAATTTCGTCACACGTGATCATAGCCAACTTTCCAAAGTCAAAATTAAAACAAAATCCTGATGAACAAAAACAATGTAATTTAAAATTGTAAATGTATTAAGGCTTGTTGTTGTTGTTGTGTGTATTTAATTTGTGATCTAAGGTCTACTTGTTCTGATTTGTTGTGAGCTAGTCATGCATGAATGTATCTTTTGTTTAACGAAGCCACTGTACAGTTAAGGCATCTTTAAAGATTAATTTTGAATTGTTTTAAGTTCATCGTCTGCTTTCCGTGACGTAAGGAATCCGCCAGGACAGAGTTTATCCCTAAAATATCAATAACATGTCAAGCACTCAAAAGGGAAATAAGGAAAAATATAAATTAGTTGATTATATTTATCAGTTGATCCAATACCAAGTTCTCTGAATTATCACGGTAAGAAATATATAGTACCGAGGCCTCGGGCAAACAACTTGGAGAATTATTTATGACATCTCAGGAATGAAAGGGTTTACCATCCTGATCCCTTCTAAATTTATCTTTTCGCATGTTTCCTTCTACATTGAAGGCATAATTAGAGCTACTTAAGAAAGCTAACGAAGAGAGCCTGAAATCTCTACAGGTTAGCTATTTAAAATAACGCAAGACTACGTTTAATCCACTTCGGTGTACACTGTTGTGGATCCAGCAGGCAGTCGAACCTCTCCACATTTACCATCATTGACCACAAAGATAAGCTACCATTGTAGAAGAGTTGCTTTTTTCACTGAATTTTGTTTTCTAATGGTAGAGTATCTTATACTCTACCAGAATATGTGGTTATTGGGCGTAGACAAATGTATCACACATGTAAGAGTATCAAAAGGAAAGAAATAGTAACCAAAATATGGTTGGTTCAGAACAAAGAGGAGTAAGCTACAGCGGTCTAAATTTGCTTGATACAGGTATGACCTGTTTTTTTGATAAATTAAAGCTGTCATCAAATAACTCCGTGTTCGAGTTTTGACGTATTTTGTTGTGACAGAGACGAGCCCCCAATAATATTGGTGTCGATAGTTGTGAGACGTTCATGTAAATTCTAGCCGCAGCAGATCAATCTGCCAGTTTACGTTACCAACTGATCACGTTTTTTTACTCATACAGCGATTGTTAGAAACACTCTGACTTTGTTCGCCCTTCTTTTAGGTGAGAATAAGAGCTAATGCACTTATGTGACTTTTAAGAAAGATACCACTTATTCAAAATAAATACATGTCTTCAAGAACGTTAGCGGTGCTCACTTTTCATTTTCTGTAGCCGTATTTTTAGCCCTACAAAAGTTTGTTTCACTTTGTAAGTTCTGTAACCATTTAACTCAAGGATCTGCTCTAGATGAGCAATTAACTCTCTGGAGCAATTTATATTGACTACACCTTAGCAAAAATTGGCTGTTTCACGACAAAGTCGTAGCATGAAATGACATGTGTCTTACTGAAGATATCTTTGGTCGGTTAGCCTTTCTTGCTTTTACGCAAGAAGTTATAAATTATCACTTGTCTTATGTCATTAAACACGTAGGATACATTAAATAAGTGTGCTCTCCTCTTTTATTTCTGTAACTATATCGTCGATGTAGACTATCACACAAAAATTCCAACCTACTTAAGAAGAATTTCTGGCCAAAAGTGAAGCATAGCACCGCATTTTGATCATGTATACGTACTTTTGAAGAAAGGCATCAGGAAATTTTTGATTTTCAAATATGATAGGAAACCCATCTTCTTACTTTCCTATATTTTTCAAATCGGAAAATGTAAATGAATAAGAAGGTAATAACACTTTCCGTCCATAACTGGATTTTGGAGGCTTTGGACATTCTCACCCGTTGCAGTTGAAGAAACATTAACATCTTAAGATTAATGGTCGGTATTTCGATGCGAAAGTTTAAACACCTGCAGATTATAGCACCAACGTATTTAATCCAAATAACTCATTAAGGCATTAAGATTGCATTACTCTATCCTACAGAATGGCGGGTTTTTTCCGCTATGCCCAGGGGGCCACTGTAAAAGCTTTCGAATTGATGTTCAGCGCATGACGCTACATCCCTTCAGCACGTTGTAGGGATACAAAGGCAGAGTATAAAGTATATGGTATTCAGCCACTGAGGGTGTTTAATGGGAACTTTTTATTCAAGTTGAGGCAAAGGATCGTAGGGAATTCGGCTTCTCTTAATATCATTCTGAAAACACTATTTCGAATGTGCACACTGAAAGGCAACTCAACAACAGCTTTTGGATACCGGTACTGCTCTTTTGTTGGTTTTTTTAATGCTTAAAGGTGTTTCCGTTGTCGTTAATTCTTTACTTCAAAGATGTGAACCAAAACTTCCTTTCAACTCAAAATGTTGGCTTCTTGATGCTTCATATCAAACTTAATTTTTACCAAACCTTTATATTTCTTTTCCTTGAGCGTTTGAGTGAATTTGTAGATTCTTAAAGACAGACGATATCCTAATGGCAGGAGGTGATCAAGGAAGATGAATAAATTAGAAACGGTTAAAGAGAATAGCGAAAATTTGTACAACTATCAATCAAAGTGAGCACATCTCCTTGTAGATGCCAGAACTGCACTATTCTATTGTATTCAAGCTTGATAGCAGTCCTAGATAGCTTACGATAGTCACGTTCACGCATTTAAATGAACAGCTGCTTAACTTTCAGCGAAAATAAAACTGGGTTACTTTCTGCGAAAGACCATCTTTTTAATAATCTATAGCAACGTACCGTATGCGATGAAACCTTACTAAAACCTTGGGACTAGATCATCGTAACACTTATTGTTGATGCTATTTCTTCTCGCTTTATTTGATTGTTGCTCAAAGCGTAGCCGAAAGGATATATAATTGTTAATTGTCTTCCATATTTGCGACAGGCATCATCGAAAACCGAAGGGGAGTGTCGAAGACTTGTAAGAATGCTAGGAAAATGATAATGAAAATGGTAACGGTCTCATTCACAACAAAACTTCTGAGCAGCTTCTATGTTCGGCTGGAAATGCCGCTGGTACGCAGTACCTTTTGATTACTTTAGCCGTATTTAATATTTTTCTTTCCGTTACAGCAACTTTAGGGAATTCACCTATCCTGTTTGCTCTTCAAACGAGGTCTTCGCTTTACCCTTCGTCGAAGGTTTTGTTTCGGAGTTTAGCAGTAACTGATATCTTTATTGACCTTACTCAACAACCTCTCTACATTTTTATGTTCTTTTTCTGCTGAAGGGATACCAGAGACTTTGTAATTACTTAATGTTATTCAGTTTTGCCCTACACTAGGTGGAGTCTCTTTGAATACGTTGACCGCTATAAGTGTGGAAAGACTTCTGGCCTTATTTCTAGGGCTGAGATACGAACATGTGGTAACTTTGAAGCGAACATATGTGGCTGTGATCACAGTGTGGGCTTTATCCCCTTCAACTGCTGTAGTATCCTTTATCAAGTGCACTATGACACTGTGGAGCACATACGTGGCAACTTTGCTGGCTCTTTAAATTACCTTAGTAAATAACAATTCTTCCTTGAGCTGGAAGATTAAAGAGGTTAAACGAAAGGTTCAAAAGAAAATTGGGGAAATATTGTGTCGTGGTGAGTTGTCAGTTAGACCGAATAAAAGGGCAAGTTAATTCCTTTCACCCAGCTCTGAAATATACCTGACACTTCTTTGGCTTTTCTAGACATCAAAATGTCAGTTAAAGGCAACGGTCTGTGCACTACTGTTTACTACAAACCTACAGACTCGATGTAGATTTTCTGAAATACTGGAATTTCTCATGTTTCGAAACAAGAAATCTTAACCGTCTTGAGTTAAACCAGCTTTTCTGGGAGTCGAGGTTACGAGCAGGTGATCTCAGCCTGCCGAGCTCTGAAAAGATTAATGATAAGGTAAATTTATACAGGACGAACGGGTGAAATACATCATTAAATGGGGAGACCAAAAGAAAGGAAGAATTTATTATGGAGTTTGTTTGGAGTTTGGAGCATTGGAATTTGTTTGAATGTTCGAGGTTGGTATCTTCTCTGTAATAGGCCACATTTCATGAGTAAGGCACACAAACTTTCCACGGCGTTTCTTGTTATAACATAGTTAATAAATTCATCGATAGCCGGAGCATGCTTAACGATCCTATTTAGCACACTTATGGCGACAGCAAACAATTTTTTCGAGATTGAAAATTGACGACAAAGTGCCCTCACAATATGGCTGCGAGTGTTGAGATTTGCGAGATGTTTTTTCCGTTCCCTCCTGACTGGAGATGCACCGTAAGGTCTTCTCAGTAACAACCAGTTTTTCAGAAGGATACTGGATTTATAAAAGCAATAGACATTTAACACTTAAAAGCGACAAAAAAGGGCTTTGGGTTAAACAATGAAATCTGACAACTTTATTTGGATTCCATGCTTCCTTTAGCTGAACTAAATAGGAAAGTTGCTTTTTTTATCACTCATTCCGAGGTAAATGAGTAGTTTACATAAAGCGCATTTAACTCTATGTAGCTTTCCTGTCTTTATAACCCGTGCAGGAACGAAGAGACCTGGCAACCAGCGCACAGAGAGTGCAGTAATGATTCCACGTGCGTCTGTGCAGCGGGTTCCAATGGAAAGTTCTGCGAGCAAAGTGAGTAAAGTTCCGGTAAATTTTAATTTATCAGTTACAAAATAAAAGGATAAAAAGAAACATTAAATTTTGCAGATTTTCAAACCATGTTTTCACGAGAGGATTGCCCTGCTCCAGTCTCCCGCTCTTCGGCTTGCTTTCTTGAGCGTACCCCTCGCTACGCCCCGTGATTGTAGGTTCACTCTAACTCACTTCAAAACAAAGTTTTTGTGAATATTCTTTCTTTTGCCCCATATACTATCTTAGATGTCACTCTTAGCCTGGATGGATCCTGGATAGTTGTTGTAGCCTTGAAAGGTTACAATGGCAAGTATCCCAGTCGTAAACACCGATCGGAAATTGATTACATTGAGATGGCAAAATGTCAGACGGATAGTACCACAAGATTTGTAGCCACGGAGTCCAATGGAAAGCTGATGCTTACGACAGACAATGGGAAGTATTTGTCGAGAGTAAGACGTGGAAATGTCGATTATATTGAAGCTTTCAAGACACATCCTGATACATGTATTTTCAGCCAGTTTACAGTACATGATCAATCAGATGGAATCGTAGTATTGCAAGCAGACAATGGAAAATACTTTAGTTTAATCGATCGCAACTCAAGAAACTCTTCTGAGGCAGCGAGGGATAACACTGATTCTTTCTGCAGATTGGCGTGCTTGATTCAGGAGTAGATCGAATAAGACTCTAATAACGATTTTCGTGCGACCCCCATTATTTCAAAACTCGGCAAACTTTTAGTCGACACGTGTGAGAATCAATCGCTCTGACGAAGGGCTAACGCCCCATACGTCAGCCTTTAAACTCTTTACGGTGGCTAATTTACGTTTTCAACTCAGTTTTTAACACTATATTACGTGCGAGAATCGTTTGACTGCAAAAGATTAAATTTTGATCTTGAGCGCTCTGAAGATAGCCGGTCAGAGCATAGAGAAACTGTTTTCAGCCACTTAAAGTGATAAAATTTTCGATCAGGTATGAGTGATAGGAAGGTTTTTTTTTCGCAAGAGAATCTTAGCAAAAGAGTTGATCAATGTCGGCCTTTCTAGTCTCACCCAAAGTTGGTTCAAATCATTGTATTGTAACTCCTGAACGTAGTGTGTTTTCACGAGTCACGGTCGCAATTTGCAAGGATGATTGCAGGTAAAGAAAGCATTGACTGATAGTACTTACTGTTTCCTCTGCAGATTGCAGCAGGTTTGATTTCGGAGATGGAATCATGCACTCAGTAGTTCAGCAACGTAGTGCTTTTTTCGCGTCCATATCGCAACAGTTAAGCTAACCATTTATGCTATTACAAATAATTTTAACAAATACGCGCGCAAATCTGTCTAAAGAACCACCGACCGTAAAACCGTTTGTTGTCTTGGATAGATTTTCTCTTCCCGCAAAGATCACTGAAAAAAAAAAAAAAAAAAAAAAAAAGAATGCCAGAAGGGTTAGACTACGTAGACTAGAAGACTGATGGTATCACATAAGTTCATAGTTTTCTGGTTCAAAATTTTAAAACTGGAGGCCGCTTACTAGAATGCCGCTGAGTTGTTACAAATTTGTGAGCAGCTGAGGTGTTCCAATTTTGCGCTTCGATTCTTCTCATTATCGATGCATTCACCAAATCTTGTAACTCTCCCAAACTTTAATCTCAGAAAGCGAGAGGAACTTTTGGTAGAAAAAAAAACATAGCACTGAAGTGAGAGGGCAAAAGGGAGCAGGCATGGAAATTAAAAAAAAAAGGGCAGTAGAAGTGGCATCTACAATCAGCTTAGCACAAGTGTCCCTTTGAAACTTTCATTATAAGAAATTGCTAGCCTTTTGTGTGTGATCCTTCCCAATTCAGGGCCACATATTCGACCAATGCTGAAGTTTCTTCTCTTTATCATTCTGCGGGTCGCATGGTACTAGAAGAGGTGCTTTTGCTGGAAAACAAACTTCTTCAAGCTTCTCTTTTGTCGACGTTTTTTCCGCTGGTTCAGCCTTTTTTCGAGGCTGTCTTGCCTGGAGTATTCCCAGTACTGCCAAAATGCCTTCTTTTGCTCATTGCTGCTCAGGCTAAGTCAGAAATTAACAATTATTAGTCAAATCTGTTACAGTTTCTACGATACTGAAAGGCTATGTTACCGACTTCACGCCAGCAAACAAACACAGCATACAATTTCGCAAATGAGAAACCGTTCACTTCAAACGCAGTTTTTGGAGAAATGGCGAGAGGGGTGCGATGTACTTAATGATTAGTCCTATCTGTGAGGAATGTAAGGTGTGCTTTTTGGTCAGGTGCAAGGAAGCAAAAAAAAAAAAAAAAAAAAAGAATGGGATGCGATTCACAAGGAATTACACCCTTGAGTATAGGTCCTCTCTTTCTGCAATCACATGGTAAGCCCGCCATGTTGGAAACGTGTAAAAATGGTGCACCGCAGTCATAGGCCACCACCTCATGACAATATGCTTTCCTTCAAAAACTCATTAATAATTCATAAGCCCATTAACCTATCAAATGGTAGATAATACATCACGTGCAGTGACTTTATATCGATAAACCTCATCCTTATTAGTATGCGGTGTTTTATCAGATATAAAGACACTGCACGTGACTTATGAATATTTATTAATTATCAACAGAAACTGACACAACAAATGGTCGGAACATATTTAATGTTCTTTCAACAAATTTCACACAGTAAATTTACTTTTGCACCAAATTAATAGTACAGTTGTGAAATACACATCTGGAAAAATTCTCTATTCCATTAGTACAGTAATCTGGTAAAGGCATATTAGACAATACATCATCTGAAACTTCGAATTCAAGATCAGTTGGATCAGTTCAGATCAGTTTTTCTCGTATGCTAATTTCTAACGTTCACAAAAGCATAATTGTTATGAACTCTCTTGACACACGCTTTTCCAAGAATGTTTTTGAAGCCGTTCAAAAAACTCGCAGCACGTGTTTTATCGGGTCAAAAACCACTCGGCTGCGCCTCGTGGTTTTAAACCCGATAAAACACTCCTGCTCGTTTTTTAAACATTACGTAAAACAGCTTTGCACCCGCAGTAAGGTCCTTACAGTAGCTCTTGGCGATGACCAGGCAACTGCAGATCCACTTGCTGCGGGTAACACAAATAGGCGTCCGCTAGAACACTGTTGCAATTTTCCGTCCGTCAATTTTCCCATATAACAAAACACAGCTGCGTTCACTCAGCCACAATTACTACTCATGAATGAGTAATGTCTTTTCTGATAAAACAGAAAACATTGCTTTTTCATAGAAAGCGGTGAAAACTTTGGTTTTTGCTATCCTCTTTCATGTTTTATGGAAAGGTTTGAGAAAATTCGGCGCTAGCTTATTTCTTCGGCTTGATCAAGATGGTAAAATTTTTAAGATTGGTCCTCGCGCGTAAGTTGTTGAATGTAAAGAGAAGAATCAACTTGATCAGGTTATAAAAACAAATATTCGCCGAGAAATAATGTGTTTCGCATTAGTTTATTTCATAAAAGGAATAAAGCTTATTTTCTATCGGTTTATCGGCATAATAACCTATTTGGGATGTTAGGAGAACACTCGAAAAGTTTGTTTATCACCCGCCTCTGTCCACGTACCTTTTTGATTTTCTCTCAACATCCCGCGTGGGTTATTACGCCGCTAAACCGACGGAAAGTGCTGTCTATCGTTCAAACATTGAATTCTTACAGATGGTGTAGTAGCCTCTTCTTTCGTGATCCAAGCATATCCAAGGAGGTGGCGATTTTCCAAAGGAAGCTTGAGTCCAATCATGCGCAGAGAAAAGAAGTGCTATGCCTGCTTATTGTTTTACGTTTTGACAACCATCTTAAATTGTTCCTCAGGTTAGTAATTCTATTGATGCTGATGCTTTAGTATCACTTGCACCTTAAATGAAACAATTTTAAACAGGATGTTGATGGGTTATCATACTTCTCTGATTCTTCGTTGTCACCTTTAAAATAGGAATTTCTATTTTAGGGGGGAATTTTGAAGAACGGCTCTTTTCAAAAACCAAGCATTATCATCTTAATGTTCCTCATGTTGGGATAATCACCGTAATGGACGAAATGGAGTGCCTGTTTAAATGCCGCAGGAGTCATTTGTGCCTTTCTGTAAACATGTCTCCGTCCAAAGGAAGAGATGGAAAGCTTTGGTGTGAGTTGCTGTCTTCTGATAAATACAGAAACGTCGACAAGTTGAAGGCAAACAAAAGTTCGCATTATTATTGTGTCGAGGTAATCCTAACTCTCTCTCCAAAAATAAATAACTTGTACATCTCCTCCTCAGCTTTGTATTATAATTGTTATAGCTGTTAACGAAATACTAGAATTTCACTTGTTTTGAAACATAACACCTTCACCGCATGCAGCGTATGGTAACTGGCAAAGAAGTCAAGTTGTAATCATTTGAACTGGCTTCATCAATATTTTTTTCAGAGGAAACAATGGTACTAATTGATTTTAACGCGACGATCCAAACCGTTCTTTGCCTGGTCAAGTCAGATTCTATCGATTTCCACTCGTACATCACTGTTTTGACTCACAGTTGCTTAATTTTAAATATTTGCATCATAGCGTCATGATCTTTAATTACAGAGTTTTCTTCTGCTAGCAACTAGAAACAAATCTCTCAGTCTCTTGAGTCCGAAAGAAGAAAGCATTGTTTTTGTGATCGCAATTTTATTTCTTTACTGAGTGAAATTAGAAATATGCGGCAGTGAATTCCTCGAGTTTTATTTTTTAGAAAAACCCCAGAATTACTGCCGCTTGCGGAAGTGTTAAGTTACTGATGCATTCAGCTGCTAATGTTTACACAATATAACTGAATGAAATCAATCGACCAATGAATTCCCACAGCTCGTGATTAACATCGGATCGTAAAAAGTCGTTGAGCCGCCGTAACCATAAAAACAAGGGTTTTTTGGGGGGTACTTTGTGAATTCCGAGATATCATTATCGGATTATTGTAGCCTGCCATCATTTCTCAGTTATCGATAAAATGTCATCAACGTTAATTTAGATTCCATACTGCCTTGAATCGCATAGTTCAAATAATTTGCATTTATCTCCATATAGCTTTCCTGTTTTAATAACCCATGTAAGAACGGAGGGACTTGGCAACCAGTGCACGGAGCTCGAGAGTGCGGTAATGATTCCACGTGCGTCTGTGCAGCGGGTTTCAGAGGAAAATTTTGCGAGCAAAGTGAGTAAACCCTAGGGTCAATTTTATTTTACGGTATCAAGAAGATGGCAAAAGATGAAAAGAAACACAATTTTGCAGTTTTCACGAGAGGATTGCCCTGCTCCAGTCTCTCCCTCTTTGGCTTGCTTCCGTCTTAAACGTACCCCTGGCTACGCCCGGTCATCGTAGGCTCACTGCCACTTAGTTCAAAACAAGGTTTTTAGAATATTCTTTCTTTTGCTCTATATACTATCTTAGATGTCACTCTTAGCCTGGATAGATTCTGGCCAGTTGGTGTAGCCTTCAAAGGTTACAATGGCAAGTATCTCAGTCGTATACATCGATCGGGAATTGATTACATCGAGATGGCAAAAAGTCAGAAGGATAGTACCACAAGATTTGTAGCCACGAAGTCCAGTGGCAAGCTGATGCTTACAGCAGACAATGGGAAGTATTTGTCGAGAATAAGACGTGGAAATGTCGATTACATCGAAGCTGCCAAGACATATCCTGATACTCCCAGCCAGTTTACAGTACATTATCAACCAGATGGAACCGTTGCATTGCAAGCAAACAATGGAAAGTACTTGAGTTTAATCGATCGCAACTCAAGAAACTCTTTTGAGGCAGCGAAGGATAACATTGACTCTTTTTGCAAATTGAGGCGTGAGATTCAGAAGTAAAAAGAATTAAACCCGGAAAACGATTGTCGTGAAACCCCCACTATTTCGAAACACATGTGACTGCAAAGGGTTAAATTTGGTCTTAAGTGCATTGAATAAGGTCGACCAAAGCGTAGAAAAACTGTTTCCAGCCACTCATAGTTAAAAAGTGTGAATGATTGGAAGGTGTTTTTTTTCGCAAAAGAATCTGAGCAAAATAGTTGATCAATGCCAGCCTTTTTAGTCTCGCTCAACACAAGTTCAAATCATTGTATTATAACTTCTGAACGTGGTTTTTTTTCACGAGTCATGGTCGCAATTTACCCCAATGATCGCACGAAAAGAAAGCGTTGAACTGATACTTTCTGTTTCCTCTGCAGATTGCATCCAATCAGTCATTAACCTTTTGCACCGTTACATCAGTATACCTATTCTCCATACTTTTTTTAAAACATTTCCTAAGCTGTTGACGGGGATAATTTATTCTTGTGACTCTTATGTTCCAATGGAAAATACACGAGTTTAATTGATCGGCAGGTAGTATGATTCACGGGTGCATGTCACCATTTAACCCATTGATCGCAAGAAAAGAAAGCATTGACTCAGTCCTTTCTGTTTTCTCTGCAAACTGCAGAGATGGAATCATACACTCAATCATTAACCTTTCACACCATAAGATCACTGTGCATACTACCTTCTCCGTCAACTTCTATATATAAATTATTGTGCCTGCAATTCAATTGGTCGCGCTTGTTTAATGTAGAGACTTTTACGCACAAACGTACAGTCACGTGATAGACGATAGATCACGCGATAGATAGAAAACACTTTTCACGTGGAGCTCATGAAACTGATAGCTTAGTGCCAAGCTAACAAGTTATCTATAATCATGCAAAATCTACATCTATGGTTTCAAAGCGCGGGTAGGAAAGGCAAAACCTTAACATTAATGTAATATTGAACAAATAAAGGATGTGATATTATCAGGAGTGACCCTTGATGAAAACCTTTCCTGGAAACAACATACTGTAAATATTGGAAAGAAAGTCTCTAAATCCATTGGCGGTACACAGTCATCTCGCCACAAGGAAGACTCGCCCCCAGCGAGTTCGCCACCAAGTCAATCTCACCACCGCCAGTTCACCACCTAGTAGTTTATCCTAGCAGAGTTGAAGCGAAAAAAAATGCTGTTGACCCTTTACTGCCTCAACTTTATCGCAATTACTGCCCTTTAGTGACAAGAAAAGGCGACTTCATTAATTAATGAAAAGAAAATAATCTACAATGCGCGAATAACAATCATACAGTGCGTTGCCCCTAAGGCTCAAGATGGAAAAATACGTTGAATCATAATTGCAAAAACAACAATGGGCGTTATTTTCAATTCACAATTTCTCGTTAATTGACTTTGTCCTAACCGACAGAAGAAGTCTTTCAGGTAAACAGCCAACGTCGGCTGATAGCGTCGTGCAACCTCTTTGACAGGCCCCCGTCCTAAATTCAAATCAATATAGCGGACGAGAGCATATATATATGTTTTTGATGCTGTTAATTCTTTTCGAAAACGGATTCGTGTGGACGGGGTCTTAATGTTTCAGAATTTGCAAACGATATCGCTTTTTTTCCTTGTAAAGTGGTATAACATATATATCAGATTTTTTTTTTATATTTGAAATTATGAGAATATTTTGATGATTATAATATAAATAAATTGTCTTTCTCAAGACACACATAGTCACGTGTATGAGAAAGAGAGAAAATAAATAACTTCATTATACTCCATTCAAGTGTTCTTTTGTCGAAAAAAACTCATTGAAGTTAAGTTGACTTCATAATTCAGGTTTTGAATAGATATATATATAAGCAGCGTAAAATTGGTATACCTAACGATGAACTCCCAGTAAGAGAATCCACAGGATACAATGTCTCGACGTGAATTTGTAGTTAAGTGTACTATAAGGACGTAACGAAGAGGCCAACTCTTGACTGTTCTGGACGAGTTTAATGCACAACATTTCGGCCGTTCGGCCTTCTTCAGGTTAAAAATTAAAAACTAAAAGGCTATTTACAATGATTGCGACTTATATACAAAACAGAAATTTTAAGATTGAGGTTACGTAATACAACAAAGGTCTAAATTACAAACTGAGGAGGGTTAAACGATGAAAGGCGAACAAAGAACTATGGATGACATGTGAATACAAATAAGGTGAATACAAACAAGTGACAAAAACTAGAGAAAAAAAAAAAGGAACTAACTTAATTAGTAGTGTTTCCTTCGGAGTAACAAGCTCCTCATTGAAGGCCTCTGAATGAATGTAATCAGGTAAAAATCACAACAGGATCCCAGGAAAGGGCCATCAAACCGCAGAAATGACCCCCCCTCCGAGGCCCTCTTTTTTTTTTAATGAAAAACGGGTGACAAACATAACAGAATCCCTGAAAAGAGCCCTTGAACTCACGAATAAACAAATATCAAAATGATAATGGAGTAAAATTAAAATAAAATACGTCATGTTGGAAAAATGACAAATCACAACTACTCAATTGTAGTAATTCATGCGGTGTTTTGATCTAAATTCTCGCCGTTTGTTGAGACCATGAGGATTAAGGGTGAATAATTGCGCGGTCCAACAGGCTTCCCTAGTGAGTAATAATCGTTCAAGATGTAAGGAATTTTCAAAAGATCTAATTTTTTCAATAATAATGAAATTGATTTGAGAAATTTCATGTTCAGAGCCAATTCACAAGTTCTTTTGTTCTTCAGCATGTTCGACTTGTGGTTACGAAATGTTACTTTAAATTCAGTCGAAGTGGAGCCTACATATTGCAGGTTGCATTTGGCACAAGTGGCCAAATAAATAACATTCCGTGACGAACAAGACAGCCCCTGTTGAATGGGATATTGACGACCGGTTGCCGAACTTTGAAATTTCGAAGCTTGAATTATGTAGTTTTTGCATAGATCGCACTTCATGTCGCATTTTGAACAACCTCTGTTTTCCTCTCTTTGATTTCTACTAGAGGTAAGCCGAAATTTTGATGGCGCCAACATTTTTGGTTCTACGATAAGCGGCAAATATCGACTTGGATGGAAAAATTTCTTTGACTTCTGGTGAGGGTTGTAATGGATAAAAGTGCTTTTTAATAGCTTTTTGGATATCCCGCAAAATTGGATTGTAGTCGAGGACCAATGGAAAATTTTTCTTTGCTGGCTTGACCTTTCTCCTCAAAAGTTCGGCTCTTGGTATACTAAGAGCTTTGTCGAACTTTTTATCGACAAGCTCCGCTGGATAATTTTGCGATTTCAAATACGCTATTTTGTAAAAAGTCGTCAGTAGAACAATTGCGTTTGATCCTTAAAGCTATCCTAAAGGGGACTGCTCTTTTGCAATGTATGGAGTGTGAACTCGAAAAAGGTAGGTAGAGGTGGCTATCAGTGGGTGTAGCATAAACATCAGTGCTAATAAACCCGTCACGAAAATGCAACGTGAGAGCAAGGACATTCAAATGACTGTCAGAGTAAACCGATTCAAATTTGATAGTAGGATACAAACCGTTAATATAATCAGTAAATTCCAATAATTTAGGTAAGCCCTGAGTCTAAATGTCAAAAATATCATCCCTGTATCCCCACCAAAGCATAAGTTTCAGGCTACCTCCAAATTTGGCTTTATCATCGATGACACCCATAACCAAATCTGCATAGCTGCTGGCGTTTTTCGGTCCTATGGTCGTGCCATGTTTCTGAATAAAACTCTGACTAGAAAACTGGTAATTATTAACCCTGAGGCAAATTTCAACGGCTTCAACTAAGCAATCAGTGGAAGGAATGTTAATAGATCTGGAATTAAGTGCCCTCTTAACTACTGAAATACCTAGATTGTTGTCGATGTTCGGAAACATTGAGACTACATCCCAAGGCACAAGTAGGGACCCCTCAGGGAGTGGGCCTTTTGCATTCAAATCTTCTACTTTGTAAATAAAATCCGTAGAATCCTTAACAAAAGATGGAAGACTCTGTGAAAGAGGTTTAAGATAGCATTCTGTAAAAGCAGAAAGCCGTTTGAACAAAATGATGGTCCTTTCTTAGGGAGAGAGCGCTCCGCATCTGTGAGTTATAGCCCAAACTAGTACTTGTTTTAATTTACAATTTTTCCACATCATTGATCATATCTGATGATATTTCCGAGACTAATGATTGAAAAGACTTTTCCTTACTCCGTTAAAATCCACAATTATTCCTCCTTTTCTAACAAGCTCTTTGATTTAAGGCGACCGTATCTCTAGTACTAACGTCGTCTTACTTTTCTTTACTCGACATTGACCTTTTTTTGTTTTGGTAACCGGTCCCGCCGGTTGTGATTCATGTCAAAAAAAACTTGTGAAACAAAACATAAACTTTTTTTTGCTGAAATTGAAGTACATTGCATTAGCAGTACAGTTGGAGCTCTAAAAAACGCTCACAGGAAAGTGAGTACTTCAAATGATCAACAATAACTTGAGATAGCAACGGGACGATAAAAGTATACCATCCAATTTATAAGTACTCTTCGAAAGGCCTCTTGCATCCTTCAAAAATAACATCATCTACATCGATCGCCCAAACAATCACAAGAAAAGACTCGAAGTCGTTTGTACAATCTTTTGCTTTTTGAAAATAACTTCCTTCCGCTCACCACACAACTATTTTAAGACTTTGCCGCTTCCATCTAGGTTACAGAGGGAAAATTTACAAGAAAAGTTGTCTCAAATACTCGATCCATTGTTGTTTTCCAACATATTTTCCTGCTTCTTTTCTTTCGCGATTCCTGAGCTGAAAACCGACGCAGGTGCTTACCAGCGGTTTCTCGCATCAAATTAAAATTTACGGAACATGCGCAACAAAATGCCCCTCTGCTATTTGCAGTAATTGTTCCCATCCCAAAATGCTGGGTAGTGCGAAAACAAAACAAATCAAAAAAATCCTATTAACCATCCCTCGATATAACATTTTGGTTGTTTTTTCATAAATTTGTTAAAGCAACCCTAGATCACCCTCGATGTAACTAACAATTTTCCCCAGTCCCTTGGCACTTCTTTAAACCGAGTTTTCACTGTGTAGACATTTTTAAAGGAAAAGGCTGAGTGCTTTAATTTCCCTTATCATTAGTGGAAATTGAAGAGGGAGTATTATATCCAAGCGGTAAGTCTTTTCAGAGGAATCGGGCAAGTTATCAGATAAGTATTCCGCCCGAATTTTTCATTTTTAGGCTTATTCGTCAGGCCAGTAAGCACAGAACTGTTCAATCACTGGTGTATCCCAACGAAGTCAACGAATGATACAGCTGTGGCAAGGTAGGCTATTTTATTGAAGTGTAGTTCCATCATACATGTACACTTCGGCTTAAAATCAGAACCGTTCTTCTCCAGTTCGACCCTTTAAAGATTATAGTGATAAAAAAAGACAATCCAGACGCAAGGGGCGAGGTTATGACCCTTAAACTTCTTTCTCCTCACGTGCACATTATGAAATTTTAAAATGATATAAGTTTAACTGTTGCCAGATATTAATAATTGTGACTTAGAAAAAATTTATAACTTTCAACCGGGATTTCTATGACTATAAAATTCATTTGATTGATCACTCTTTCAATTCCAAGATACTGCACAACAAATGAACACTTCTCATCACCATCCACTGACAATCTAAAGCGCGAGAGTTAACTTTGGGTGACAATTTTCTGACGTCTGCAAGCAATTATTTTTTGCTCACGACAAATAATAGAGAGGAGCCATGTTACTTGCCGCATTCTCCCATTTAATTCAATTTTCAGGCGTTTTGCGTTTTCCCAAAGGGGATATCCAAAACACTACTGTTTTGGGTACGGGGATACCCAAAACTCGGGGATACCCAAAACACTGTAACAGAGCCTCCGAAGGGAAA